CCTTAATTTATCCACAGTCTACAAACTACAATTTTGTACCTATGAACTTCAGTAATCTGAAGGCAGTCCAGAATTTTTCTAATCTTAATTGAAATTTTACACTAAAAATACCGCAAAATATGTTATAATGTATCAGGTAAAAATAAGAAAATGGAGATAAAGTAATATAAAAGTAATAATAGATAAGTATTATAAAATTCAAACAATGGATTCCCGCCAAAAGTCACAATTTTTTTTCTCTAAAAACATCGAAAAATTTGGTCTGATGTATCAGAAAAACATAACATCCAAGGAGGTATCAAGTAAAATAAAATGCAATATTGGATTCCCGCTTGAAATAAATGTAAACAATGGATTCTCGCTTAAGATCAGGTGTACAAATAAAAAACAAATAATTAAAAAAATAAAAAACTAATTATTATTATTATATTAAAATAAACTAGACTCAATTACAAAACTTTTGAACTAAATTATTAATAAAACTATTAAAACTAATTAAATAAGTTGGCATAACGTAACTGCATGACAACTTATTTAATTCTTATTATTATTATTATGGTCACTCTTAAACACGACAAGGCTTTATTTGGGGGGTTCGAATTTCGGTGGTGCTATTTATAATATTTTCCGAAAAATGTGGGCCGTCCCACATAGTACGATTTCCTGGATGGTTTCTTCCTTTAGGTTCTTCAAAATCTTCTTTAAATTTCCTTTCATTGAATGTCGTGGCATGGCTCCCAATGCTCCCACGATGACCGGAATCGTTTCTGTTTTTGTTCCCCACATCCTGGCTATTTCAATTTACAAATTTCTATATTTCAGCCTTTTGTCTGCTTCTTTGGCTGCCTGGTGTTTTTTTCTGCCGGCACGGATACCTCAATTAACTTATTAACACCATTTTTCCGCATTATGCCTGAGGATGATATCCGGTTTGTTAGCTGGCACAGTTCTGTCAGTGTGGATTTGTTGATCATACAGAACTGTGCATGAACCTACTGTCGTAACCGGGCTTGGAATGTGATTGTACCACTCCTTGGGTAATCCATCCATTCCATATTCTCGGCATATACTCCAATGGAGATATTGACATAATTTCTTCTGAGATTGGGCTTTGCTATCATAAGTTGCAAGTTGCCCTTCTTCCATTATCTCGTTTTCTTTATTTTCTTTGACGATTTGTTTTCTTCTTTTCAGTACTCCTTTTTTTGTAATTTTTTCTTCCGTATGTATAATTTGGGCTAAGATAGGGTCCTCTTTATGGGATTCTATGTATTTTCCCATTCCAATTATGGCATTCTGGTATGCCGCTTATTATTATTATTATTATTATTATTATGACGACAATTCGTCCTGATGTTTGTCGGAGCCTTTTCAACATATATTCCAGGTTTCTACCCTTCTACCTTTTTTTAGTAAAAAAAATTGATCTTATGTATTAAAAAAACATAAGTCCAAGGAGGTATAAAGTAAAATAAAATAAAAAATGAATAAAAGTAAAATAAAATTCAAACAATGGGTTCCCGCGAAAATAAAATGTGACACCTAAAATAAAATATACAAGGTCGTCCTACTTAGCGTAAACAGTAAACAAGGTCGACCTTGGTTGAAAAATCGTGACCATGAAAATTTTCACAAAATTGAAATGTAAAACCAATGGCCTTGTATTCAAGGTCGACCTACTTTAGAATAAATCGTAAACGTTGGATTTTCGCGCTCAAGGTCATTTTTAACTTAAAACATCGATAATTTTTTTCCGATGTATCCGTAAAACATAATATCCAAGGAGGTATAGGGTAAAATAAAATGCAAAATTCGCAATATAATGCAAAATATCGCAAAATTTGTTTTTTTATGTGTCAGGCAAACATAAAAAAATGGATGTGTACTGAGTACGCTTAAAATAAGGTATAGAGATTTGGATGGGTGCATGGAGATTTTATAATCACTCGATACAATAAATAAATTAGTTACAAGTATTTTTAATATTTTTATTGGCAAAATATGTTATAATGTAACAGGTTAACAAAAGAAAATGGAAGAGTAAAATAATATACAATCAATAGATTCACATTTAAAACAGGAGTACAAAGATTTTATATCCACAAAATACTATAAATAATTTAGTTCCAAGTATTTTTATTGAATTAACTCTATTCCTTCTTCAGTATGACAAAATATTTAGCTCAACTTCTACTTATAATCAGCTCAGGAGATGTAACAATTATTAAATGGAGTCTTTTGTTCCTTTTCATAATTCCCTTCGCTAAAATCAATTATTATTATTATTGGTTACCAATTCCTCCTGACTTGATTCAGATTAACACCTAAAACAATCAAAAATCAGAAAATTAACCCTTAAAGATTGATAGATTTAAAGTATAGAAATTTGATCAATACTTAAATCAATAATTAATAAATAATTTTATTAAATTACTCCAACTCTTGTTTTTTATTATGATAAAATCAGTTCTGTCAGTGAGGATTTGTTGATCATACAGAAGCGTGCATGAACCTGCTGTCGTAACCGGTGCCTTTAGAACATTGTTGTACCATTCATTAGCTA